ATCAGTTCTTATAAATCATATGCAGTATACTAATATATTCTTTATTGACTTTGATTTTATTTTGCTATTTTCAAAATTAAAAAAAATAAATCAATTCAAAATTTTATTATTATTATTTTTAAATAAATATAGTAAGAAAATTTTGTTAGTTTATATTTTATTATATAATTTAATAATAAATTATTCAAAAAATTTTAAAATTTTATATACAATAAATAAACAATTGACATTATTATTATTTTTTCTATAATTAAACAAGTATTTATTGTGTTTATTTAATCATTGAAGTTGAAAACATACAAGTACAAAACTTTTATGCATAAATTAAGCCAATACTTGAATACATGTTCCTGATTGTCAATTTTTAAATATAATCTTGAAGATAAATAAAGCTGCTTGCTCATCTCTTCCATTCCTAAGAGAATTTGAGTTCATTACTTGCAGTTCATTTTTTTTTTTTTTAAATGCTAAGGTGAAACAATGCTCTAGTTTTATTAATATAGATAGTTTTTGTTACATATGTAATATATCTATACTATATTAATCTTATATTAACTAGAATCTACTCACAAGTTTAACCTATCCAGGTATAGTCTGCCACCCTGCTTGCTTACTCAAGCATTACCTATTACATTTTTTTCTTTTCTATCTGATACTAACTTCAATTCTATCCATAATTATCATTTTCTTTTTAGCTATCCAAGAATGGTCAAGGTCTTTCTGCTTTTTATGACTGCCTTTTCAGGATAGGTAACTAACAAGCCGACGTATTACTGGATTAAAAAACCTTTTTATGAAAAAGACACCTTAATATCCATAGGGAAACAATTACTAATTCTTTTTATTCTTACTGAAACAGGTATTTATACATTTCTTGCTACTTCTGGCGATCGTTATGTCACCAACCGGATGATCGTCACACCACCATGCCTTTTTCTTAATAGTTACAATCTCATTGCTTGCATGATCGCATGTGAAACAACTTGTATAAGAAACAATACTTTGACAGGTTATGGTGCCGGATACTATATTTTATTCTTTTATTCAACTGCGTTCACCTGGAGTTGAACCGGTATCTTGCAATCTGACTTGTGAAGCATTAACCACTGTGCTATAGACCCACAGATCATATTACTTGCAGTTCATCACTACAATATAAATAATTATTATTATTATTATTATTATTATTCCAAATCAGACTGCAAGTCTTGATATTTATTAATATAAGTCTTAATTAACAAAAATACAGTAATAGAATATAAAATAATATTATACTAAAGCTAAACTATGTAATCTTGCAGAACACCCATCAATAGTCAGTAGTCTCTAAGTGTAATTGTAGGGAAATGAAAAAGTTGCTCAATTTTGAAGAACACTCCTTGTCTTTCTCAATTTCATAGCCAGCCTTCATTTCAAGACTGTCATTTCTACACAATTGCTGTAGTCCTATAGAGATAAAAAAATTTTTATTTTTTTATAGAAAAAAAGGGAAAAGGGAAGTGTTAAAAATAAAAAGTTTATATTGGTAAATAAAAACTCCTTGAAGTTAATCTCGAGTCCAACTGTCTACAGCTAGATACCCATTCAATTTCCATTATTTTATTACTAACCAAAAACATTTAAGGACACTTCCAGAAGAGTAATTTTTAAAACTTTATGCTTAAAGACTTCTAATCTTTGGAGAGGGTTAGTATATTATTTGTTAATTTCTCTTCCAACTGGTTCTCTAAAAAATTACAGCTTCATTCAATTAGTAAATAGTTTCAAGACCCTTTCTCCAACCATTTTCAAGATAATCAGTAACAAAAGAAGCTTATTACTGTGCCTGGAATAAGAAGACCTTTCTTTAATCTTAAAGAGAAACAAAACCAATATAAGAGGGAAGGAGGGAGAGTTTCAAACTTCTTCTTTACAAAGCGGACACCTCATCACCTTGTTCTTTCCATTAGAACCAATTGCATCATTAGATTTGATATTGTATAAGATGGAACACATAGAGGTTACGTGTCTTGTTTACATTTCTTGTTACGTGTAAATTAATTAGTTTTAAATTTGAGCCAATCATCATTTAAGAATTCCAGTATAACCAAAAATTCAAGATCAAATTAAGATAGACTAAATTCTCCAGAAAAACCAGGAAAAAGTTTACATGCTTGAAAAGATAAGAGGAAGCTTGAGGAAGATAAGAGAAGAGTTCCAAAAACTGTGTTAGTTTTTTCTAGAATCTTGAATCTCTGGAAGAAAAGAGGTGAATATTTTTTTTACAGGTTTTTTTTTCTAATAAAGTTTTCTTGCCTTTAACTTTATAGGTAAGTATTTCTTATATTTACTTGCAGAAATACAAGAAGTTTATGTCAAAGAAAGAAAAGAACAAGTGGGGAAGACTATAGTCTCTTGGTGTAAGTGTTGTTAATGAAAATATATAGACTTTATTACAAAGAAATATAAAAATTTTCTTGTAACGTCTGTTTTTTGTGTTGGCAAAAGGATTAGCAAAGAGTTTTTTTAATTTTTATAAACAATTTTTATTATATAATCCACAAAACAATTATAAAATTATTGTTTTTTTTTTTAAAAAACCAAAGTAACATCAGTTTTTTCTTTATTTATAAGGAATTACTAGAAGCAATATTATAATTACAGAAGGTTGAACTATATTTCTCTTTACTAAGAAAAGTCCAATATGTAATACAAATAAATTGACCATTTAGTCTTAGTTTAACTAAACATCCAAGCAATAAAAAAAAACTTTAAAAATTCTATAAGCTTTTGAGTAATGGCCAGCTCGAGCCTGGCATATTTGTGTGATACCTAGTCACATGAAGGTACTGCAGTTAAATATACAGGTTAGTCTCCAAGTCATAACTAGAATTTGCACACTTGTTTTCCAGCTTTGGTTTGATATACAGCAAGTGGAAAAGTTAGTTAATATATGAAAACACTATAGCCACTTTTTACAAGTCGACTTTCAATTTATATAGAAGTTAACCTATTCACTTTTCAAGTATGACAGAAGTATTTAAAGGATAGGGTAGTTATGGTAGTGATAATAGTGATAGAATTTCTTATAGACATTATATCTAATTATATATAAAGATCTACATTGTTAAGGAATAAATGAAAAACTTTTGTTGTTATTACCAACTCTGTTTGTAGAGATAACTAGAATCTCTGGTTATCATATTTTATTTTATTAGATATCCTAGTTACCAGCCTGGCATATATAGAATTTCTACATTGGTATTGGCTGCTATATTACTGAATATGACAGAGTGCAACTTCTTGGAAGTTTAGATAACAATAATTGTACAGTAGCTTCTTAAATATATCTAGTCTAACCATCAACAAGTAAACAAAGTCAGATATGAAAATAATGGTAATGCTGATCTTTTGGAGGTAAACTATCCATCATTTTTCAAAAAAAAAAACTATGGAAAAAAAAATTTTTTCAAAGCCTATATCTTGAGAAAAGTTATTGCTTCTTAATTAGTTCTTGAGAGAAAAAAGTCAACAGATCAGAGAAGTAATGAAATGGAGAGCAGTATTTCAAAAGAGAAAGAGATTTAGAGAGGAAAAACTTTAGAGGAAAGGAAAAATCTAACTTTGGCAGGAGGAGAAAAAAAGAAAAAGGAAAAGAGATATGATATAAATAAAGGTTTATAGAAAGGAGAAAAAAGAGTAAGGAAGAGAAAAGAAAAGTATATAAGGAAGAAAAAGGTGAGAAGGAAAAGGAAAAAATAAAAAAAAGTAAACAACTCAAAAGTTTCCTAAAAAGGAAATTTTCAAGTGCAGAAGGAGAAAGTAAAAAAGAGTTTTTTTTTTCTTTAATAATAAATTATTGTATTTTTCATTAAAATTTAATGTTTAATATATTTTAACTTAATTTTAATAAATATAATTTATTAAAACTTTTTTATTTGTATCAAATATAAAATTTACAAAGAAAAATACTAATAAAATTTTAAAATTATAATAATCATAATTAATTAAATAATAATAATCTTAATAATATACTTTTATTTTAAATTTTATTAAAAAAAGTAATAACTTTATTTTTAAAATTCTATTTAAAGATACCATTTTTATATGCAATACATATAAAATAAATATATCAATATTTGAATTAAAATTCAATTCTATTTGATAATATATTAATTTTTTTTTATAATAAATAAATTAATAAATTATAGAAATAAAAGGTTAAATAATAAGTTATGACTGATAACAACTTGTGTTTTTATTAATTATTTGAAAAATATACAGTATTAATGATAATATAATTATTAATATGAAAAAAAAGCCCAATTTATTAAAATAAAATTAAATATCTTTTAATTCTAATGATTTAATAATTTTTTTTATATATAAGTAAATGGGCTTAAATTTTTAAGAAAATATCATATTTTTATTTATTACATGTTATGTAAATGTAAACGTGGACAATTAAATTTGGAAAAATTTCATAAAAAACAAGTGTCGGTAGACTTTATAAAGAATAAGTGAAACCGCAGTACGTGGCATAGTGCTGGCCAAGAGCTTTCATAATTGATATGAAGTCAAGTAGCAGCAATAGCAAAGAAAGATCAAGTAAGAGCACCTCTGTTCTGTCAAGAATTCGTTTTAACCAAAAATATTAAAAAAAAACATTTTAAAAAAACGTTACACAAAGTATCCAATGATTTATATGGTTCTTGGTTGCTATAAAGCATTAGATAAGCAACGATCGCCGATTTATGGATTTTTCTTCTGTTAGCAATTCAACAATAAACGCATTTTCTTCAGTGACTTCAATTTCATGTTATTCGCGTAAAATATTGATAGAATTCGGCGGCCGTGGAAAAAACGTGGTAAAATGATAGTCTAATTCGACACCCAAAAAGTATACATAAAAAAATTGTACCACGTTTCGGATAAGATGCAGTCTTTGAATACTATTTACGGAAAATGTGACAATTGAAAGGGTCTATTGGAGACTTTCCAAGGCTAGGTCAACCGCAAAAATGCTAGTACCAGACGGGAGTAGCGATATAAATACTTTTCAGTCAAACACTTTAGATGTAGGAATGTCGTTACTTGCACCGGTCATAGTTAACGTTCAGAATGGAGAATGGGTCCATCAAGTGCGTATTTTAAACTCACGCTTTTTTTTGAAGTGATTCGTAATCAAATATAGAACATACCTTTTTTCAATAGAGAGTCTTGCTGATATATGGGCGGGCTGGCCCAAAAGATTTATCATTTAAATCAAATGTCACGGTCGAGCATCATACCGATAATTTTCCTTCGACAGTATGGCCAGTTTTAAATTCTCACTTCAAATGTCTTGTACATCTTGACCCAGGTACCTAATCGCATAATTTACTGCTCATAAATAATTTACACCTAACAAATCGGATAATTCTCGAAATTCAATTGTATAGGTCCAAATAATATCAAGTTTACATTCGATCAAGAACCCTATGCACCAAACTCACCTCCATTGTCTACCGTAATTACATTCAATTACGTTCCGT